GTTCGTTCCTCATTTCTTCAGCGCTTGCATTGCGCTGGCCAGTTCAGAAGTGTTGCCGTTTAAGGCGGGGGGGGGGGTGGGAGGGGGCTACGGGGAGCCACAAGTTGATGCGGCTCAACAGAATTGGGACATGGGCCCAGCTGAGAATCATCCAATAATATATCGCCAGATGTGTACAGGAGCCCATTCAGACGCAGGCACTTGGATGGGATGGATTGGTGAGTGGTAGTTGCCGTGTAACGGCAATGGATCTTACAGTAATTACAGAACGGTGATGGAGATTTGTGATCTGCCTTCGATGAATTTTCATTATTTCTAACATGCTCACACTATTTATACTCTGTACCCTCCTACTCGTGCAGTCTGTCCTCCTTCAGACTTTGCCCAGCTCCAGTTTTCCATCGCACTAACAACACACCACTCCACCATTCTTCTCTCTCACCCCGCCCACCCTATCGCTCCCATCCACACCCGCCACCCTCTCTGCAATCTCTGTCGCCGCCGCCGCCTCCACCATGCCGACGGCCTTCGCCCTCTCCACGCCCGTGCGCCGCTCCCCCGCTTCCATCTCGGGCCCCACCACGTCCTTCTCCCCCACGCGGCGCCCGCGCTTCCACGCCCCGCCACCCGCGCGCATGCGCCTCTCCTTCCCGCGTGCGCCGTCCTTCCCGGCGCTCCCGTTCCCGCGGCTGCGCCTCTCGTACGCGCCGCTGTCCTCCGCGGCGCGTCTGCAGCGGCTGTCCTCCGCCGTGCTGGCGATGCATCTGCCTGCGCTGGCGCTCCTGCTGCTGCGCCTTCTCTCGCCGGCCTTCCTCCCCCTCCCCGCGCTCGTGCTGCCCGAGCGGCTGCTCCTCCTCGCCCTGCTCGTCATCTCACCCGAGTTCGCGCACGGCTCGTACGTCAACCTGCGACACTGCGCCATCGTTGCCGTGCGCGGCGACCGCGCCGCCACCCGGCTGGAGGCCGAGTCCGCGGACAACCTCGCGCGCCGCGCCGAGCGCCTGGTCATGCCCGTGCGCGTCCACTCAGTCCTGACGTCCGTCGTCGCGGCCGGCACCCTGGCCGGGCTCTTTCTGGCCCCGCTCGCGCCCGCGTCGGGGGCACAGGTTGCGCTGCTGTTTCAGCTCGTGTTCTACCTGGCGAGGCGCGTCCGCTTCGAGCGGAAGGGAAAGGTGTATCGCTGCGATCGCATGCAGTATCGCGATATCGTTTGGGCATGCCTTGTGGCGAGTCTGTGTGTGGCCGCCGTTCAGCTGCGCTGGCTGCCGACTGTTGCGGCGGGGTGTGTGCTGGTTTCGGCCGTCGGCTTCTGGATTCTAAAGTGGGTCTTCGTGCCGTCCGAGGAGCGCGCTTTCTAAGCTGTTGCGAGATACTGTATGTGTTTGATGAGCGGGTGTGTGCGTATGGCGATGGCGAGGTGAGTACGTGGAGGTGGAGAGGGTTGTTGTTGCGTGCGTCAAGTTTTTCGTTGATGTGGTCGCGGGGTTACCAAGAAGCATGCAATAGTGCAAGGCGGTTTATGCTGGTACCGGCCCCGGTTGGTGCACGCAGCGGTTGCATGGAAACTGCGCTCGGGGGGAGGGATGGGATTGGCCTTGAGCTGAATGCGAGTGTATATCGACGCTCTCGTTGAAACGGTTTACGGCGTTGCTCGTGTCGATTATTCATCGGTCGCCACGGAGCAACGCGTGTACAGTCGAGATAGGTTCCGCCTTAACATTTTTATTAAAGTTTAACATGGGTTCTTGCCGATCCGTCTTCAAATACCGCTCAGTTTGCGTAGTTGGCGTTCCCGTGGCGGTATCAGAGTGATTTCTTACCGATACATCTCATGACAAAGGAAATGTCTCCACGTCTGCCCCCCCACATCATTCCAGCCGCCTGCAATGCTCCAAGGGTTGCGAAAAAAAATATGCCCTCTGCCCTCCGTTTCCAATGGGCGTGGGCAATATCATTCTGTAAACATAAGGGTCCTAGTATCTTTACAAGTTATCAAAATGTACAAGCGGCAACTTTCATAGCCGAACGAAATCTATCTCGCTTGTCACTTCTCAAGCATGTTGGATCACAGAATCGCCCATGTGACGACCTAAGGGCGTCCCTGCCCTTGGCCGCGGTCGCCGCGAATTTCTCGACTCGTTGTCCGGGACCCACGAATGAGCTCTGTCCACAAACCTTTCCCGTGCTTGTTCGAAGAACGTATGGAACGAGGCAGTATCTGTTCTCCCACGATCTTGTTTGGAGCGTCCGAACACCAAAACAGTAATGTCGTCTTCCGCAACCTGGAATTGTACAATACCGTGGAGGCCATTGCCTCTTCCCAGGGGCATCACAAACTTCATTTTCCGTTTTGTTTCCCGCTTGATCCGAACATCGGCTCCCATTTCCTGCAAAACTAGTCCGAGAACTCCCATGGCCGAAACCGGTGGTATACTCGTACGTATTTGCGCGTGCCTCTCGCCAAGCATTTGGTTTCTTACCTTCATGGTTAGAAGGGCAGAACGCAGTTTCGTGGCCACCTTCTTTTTGTCCGTTCCATAGTATGGTACGTCGTGCATGCCCATGGAAGCTGCCATGTCTGGACGTGTCGCTGTGGTGGTATCTCCAACCTCCAAGTGGCTATTGCTTTCCTTTCGGCCACTTCGGCGGTGGACTCGACTGTCAGCTCTCGTTGACATGTTCTGACTTTCCTTGAGCCGGCCTGGGATATACTCGGATGGTAACGGAACACTACCAGAATGACTTCGGTGCGGAGTGCTTGGTCTCACAGCTGCCGAAGGATTTGGAATATTCCCTTGATACCTAATTTGTGAGTAGGCATCCATGGGGCGACCAGTTTGTGCCAATATCTGCGCAGGCGGCATTGACGCCGTTGAACCGAACTGCATGGAGTTGCTGTCCTCCGAGCCGTTGTTGTTGTTCATGAGACGCAGGAATTCTTCAGCAATGTGAGAGTCCTCCCGACCACCATGATGCTCTTGCATCAGTCTATTCAGTTCGAGGAGATCGGTCTTGGAAGCTGGCTCAACGTCATCCCCCGTGACGGAAGCTACCCGATCTGGTCTATCCGACGGAATAGCCTTGTTCGTCTTCTTGATCATTCTGTTCAAGAGATCAGAAATATTCCGTCGTCTAGTCAGGTCGCTTTGATGCCTCGGGGCTTCCGTAACTACAGGGCTCCATGACCGTGGTTCTTCCTCGGATGACATGTCGGTCATAACGCGGCGGGGGCCTCCTAGGCGGGTCTCTCCGATTGACGGAATCTCCTCTCGGCTCCCAACAGTTGCGCCGTCCTCGTATTCTTCATCGCTCGTCACTCGACTCCTGTTGTTATGCCGCCCCGTAACTGGAGATATCCTTCCGTCACTAAGGCCATGTGTCTCAAAGAGGGACAAAAAGTTTGTGAAGACTGCCGCGACATCCTCCTTCTTCTGCATTTGGTTGATCTCTGTAACCATTCTGCTGAAATCTGATCGCAGCTCTTGCGACAGCCTGAAACCAGCTGGCTTGTCAGTCCCACGTAACTTGCAAATCATGTTCCATAGATACCGTGCAATGATTTCGGATTGGAATCCGGGATTCGTCGGCCCATACTCATCCCTCGCCGCGTATGGGTTCGCACTGGCTTGCCATGGTGTCGCATATCCTGATATGACACTTGGATGAGACCCTGATGGACTACTCACGTCCGAGCCGAAGCCATGGCGCCCGCTCATGCCCGGGGAAATCGAACGATATCTGTCATACGAGGTGCCGCCATTCACTCCCGGCGAATATACAACCGGAGGTGAATTTGGGACCTCGGAAGACAACGGGACCCTAAGTCCGCGAGGATCACTCTTCATGCCGTCGCGACCCAAGGCACGCCTCTGTGTATGCATGGACGACATGGATGATGGCCCCTCCACTGGGCTCATCATCGTTGATGCACCAGAGTTGACGCCTAGGTCCGAATCATACCTCCGGCCGGCCGCGCCATGTGTCGACTGCTGGAGGTACTGAGCTCGGAGCGAGTTGAAGTCAGAGCGTGGGCTGGCTCGCATAACTTTCGAACTAGGAGGAAGTTCGAGCTGGAGAGCCGGCTTCTCCTCATAATCCTCCGTACTATCTTGATCCGACGCCGTGCCTCCGTCTTGATCCGCACCCAATGGCATCGTATCCATTGGAGACTGGACCCGACTCCCTCCTGCTGGTTCATAAGAGGGTATTGGCGGCAAGGACGGCATACCATTATGCCTCACCGCGGACATTCTAGCCTGTGCAGGATGAATTCCAGGAGACCCGGGAACCGGAATGTGGCCGCTGGCTGCGGGTAAATGGTCGCCCGGCCCAACAGCGGCCGCTGCCGCCGCCGCTTTGAAGGCGGCAGCGGCTGTTGTCGACATTGGTCGCTTCGCGGGGGTAGCCGGGCGATCTTGCACTCGAGAGATGACCTCGAGATGAGGCGGAGGGGGTGAGCTCATATGAATGTCGACGTCCGGAGCGGGAATGGGAGGCTGGTACCATTCATACTGTGGAGTACTTTCTGGGACTCTGGGGTGCGGCGGCAGAGCGTGGGAGACGCCTTGAGAGTTTGCCAGCGCAGGTTCTCCGTGATAGCTCTGGTGTGGAACTGGCCACGGATCTATTGCTGGCTCACCTTGAAGCGGTTCCTCGGGATGCATTTGGGCGAGGTTGTGGGCGTGGGGGTGCACATAACCAGCATGCATCGCAGCGTCTGTAACAGCGGCCATCATCGGGGCGACTGGCGCAGAGGTATTCGGCACTGTGTTGTCATGCGTGTATGACGATATCGAGGCTGCGGCAGAGGCTTGTGGCAAACTATTGGAGGTGGCGGGAAGAGTGGCGTAGGATGGGATGGGATTGGCGAGTTGGGCGGCAGTGCGTGCGTCCGGAGCAGAGGAAAAAACCGGAGCGATGGGGGCCGCAGAGGTGGGCGGGCCAGTGGTGACAGTTGGGGAAGGGGCACGGGCGGTGGCGGTGGGGTTGCTCGAAGAGAGGAGGCTGGAAGGGTTCTTGTTGTAGAATGGGGCCTTCTTGACGTTGCGGGTATCGTCGCCATCGTAGTCAACCAAAAACCAGGGATGTCGCTTGACCTTGGCAAGGTCGTATCTCTTCGAGGAGTCGCGTACGAATAGGTTTGACAAGAGGTCTCTCGCCTCTGGGGACTCGATGGGGGAGTAGTCCGGTCTGCACTCAATGATGAGATCGTACAAGTCGTTGGGGTCCCGGGCCAAAAACGGGAGGCGGCCCGTGAGCAAGGCGTATAAGACGACGCCGCAGGACCAGGCGTCGACTTTGGCGCCGTTGTAGCCTTCCTTGGGGCACTCGATAATTTCCGGGGCACAATAATCCGGGGTGCCACACTGGGTGTACATGAGGCCTTGGTTGGCGTCGAAGCCTTTCATGCTTGAAAAGCCAAAATCTGTGATCTTAAGATCTCCGTTCTCATCGACGAGCAAGTTTTCAGGCTTGAGATCTCGGTGTGCGACGCCTCTCTTGTGGCAAAAATCGACGCCGTCAACGAGTTGCTGGAAAAAGCGTCGGGAGCGATGCTCTGGGAGCGGACCGTTTTTTCTGATGAGCTCGAAGAGCTCGCCGCCGACAACGAGCTCCATGACGATGTAGAGGCGGGTTTCGCTGGTGAGGACTTCAAAGAGCTTGACGATGTGCTTATGCGAGAGCGAGCGCATGACGTAAATCTCGCGACGGACCTGAATGGTGCTCTCCTGCTCCCGGATAGCGTCCTTGTCCATGATCTTGATGGCGACGCGGGCGTTGGTGTGGTGGTGGACGCCGATCTTGACTCTGCGGCGGGGGCAAGCACGGGATGGCAAAGAGGAAGGGCACAAGACGGGGACAGGTGTTATTAGATGGTTTTCGTTTGGTGCGGTCGGTGGTAGGTGGCAGGTGGGGAGGGAAATGAAGGGGTAGCAAGATCTTACCGTCCGAAGGCGCCCACGCCGATTGTGGAGTAGAGGGTGTAGTTGCCGACGTGGGTGGAGGCAGCGGCGCCGGGAGGCGGACCGGTGAGGTGCGAGGTGGGCATGACGCGGCTCGGCTGCGGCGGTTGTGTCTGCTGCTGTCTCTGCGAGTTCTGCAGCTGCTGTTGCTGCTGCTGCGACAGCGGGGCGGCGGCCGGGCGTGAGGCCGGTGCCGGGGAAGGGGGGCGTGCGTCCATGGCGGGATGGGGTGAAGGGAGGGAAGGGGGAGGGAAGGGG